TCCCACCCCTACCCGTTTGCTTGCACCAACTTGCCCTCATGCTCCGACGCGCTGCCGCTGGAGAGTGTGTCTTGACGACGGGAAACGTACCTCTAGAACGCACATCTCATTGAATTTTGGGCTGGAAATTATATAATCTGGACCGAGCAGGGCTCCACAGGATTAAACTGATTGGACGAACCGGCGGTTTGACTTATAGTTTTCTGGCCTTATAAAAGAATGTATCGGAAGATATGATGGTAATTTTTGAGACATTTCGTACTAAAACTATCAAGAAATTACTGATCTGACCTGACAGTACTTTCATGCAGTCTGTTTTTCTTGCGCGTGTAAATTGATGCTGGAAAGTGTTTTGTTCTCCTCTCAATTAGCAGACCGCAACGTGCGTTCGGCCGAGCGGGCCACAAAGTAAGGAGAGTCTTGGGTAACGAGGGATGGAGTAAAGCTCTTTCTGATACAAAGCGGGGCGAGGGAAATGTGGCCCGGGATTATTCCTCTGATAAACCGATGCTCCTCTGCTTATTGGAGCCGCCTCCTCCTGGCCAGGTTTTACCGCGCTGCTGGAATTACCACTTCATGAAGTGAAATTGCTATCCCTGTTTTTTTCCCCCTGCATTCTCCTTGCTTTTTTTTTCGTCTCGCGAGCATGTCGCTGCGGCGTTCGCAGTCGCCGTTTGGGCTTGTCGATGATTTTAAGCCGGTGTGGATATAGGATGTGTGGAGGAGAAAGTGAAGAAGGCGGAAGAGGATACGGAGGTGAAGGTGGAAGAGGATGTGGAGGTGGAAGTGGAGGTACAGGAGACGCGCCGAGAAAAACTGCGGGATAGGTAGCGGTGCTGTGGGTCATCGTCGAGTACGTCGTGGAGAAATTACTCCAGCTGTTATTTTGGGGTGCGCTAGCCGGCCGCCGAGCTGCCGGAGTCTGGAGCAGATCGCTCTCCCGGGGCGCATCGCCCCCTGCCGGCCATTACTAGCTGCCGTTGCGTGGAGCGGAAGAGAGAGAGAGAGAGAGAGAGAGAGAGAGAGAGAGAGAGAGAGAGAGGCAGAGGCAGGCGGATTATGACGGGCGTGCTTTCGATAGGCGCCATGCTGATGGCTCCTTCTCGCGGCGCACCACTGCACTGGCCGGACTGTTGAATGAGACATAAACCAACGAATGGCCATCTCTGGCACGCAGTTATGCCTCCTCTGTGTGTGTGTGTGTGTGTGCCGCACTTACTTTCTGAGCCATATCCCTGCTTCGCTCGGCACTATTGCCGTCGGTGGTGGTGGTGGTGGTGGTGGTGGCGGTAGTGGCGGTGGCGTACATCCTCCAGCCATGCGATATGGTGCCTGCAAACCTGCTTGCGGAGGACATCCGAGGCGTCATCAAACTCTCCTTCTCTCCCGTCCCGCTTCTCCTTCCCCATTCATCCCTTATTATTTTCACCCCTCCCCTCCCCCTCTTTCCCCTGCTCCCACTCTTCATCTCTCGCTGTTGCCCTTCCTTTCGCCTCACCCCCC